TCATTGACTGCTTCGTAGTTAATACATGCAGTTCTAGCATCTTGAAAGGAACAGTTTGGCATTCTTAACAGCTCTCTTTCCAAACTCGGTATGTTAATTCCTGCAATTAATCGATCTCTCAATTGCACATGAAGTTGATCACCGAAATTACACTTGGCAGCTTGTTTCTGTAATTCAAGGATGAATTCCCGAACCGTTTGGTCATTTTGACGAACCATCTTATGAAACTTCGCCCTTTCACGGCATTCAAAACTGGTGCATTTTACATGACTTAACAATAGCTCTTTAAGAGTTACATAAGGCAGTGAGATAGGTTTTTCTGGATACGCCAAAGTTTTTAATAAGCTGTACACTTCTCTCCCAATGAATGTCAGAAAATGTGCCACAATTTTCTCACCTTTAACATCTTTCTTGGTCATGCTCCAAATTTCGAACCTTTCCAAATAATCCTCAATAGCTTCAGGAGTTGAATGAATATCCAACTTTTCCATTGCAGGTTCCATCGCGACGCCAATATAATATTCTAATTATAGTATGAACTAGGAATTCCAGGATTAACGCAATTGAACTAAGAAGACACAGGCACAAACGAATGTATTGTATTTAGAATTCGAAATCCAGTATTCAACCAGTACAAAGGTATCATTGGTTCATTCAAACACCACAGTATACTATGTTGTAGGACAGGCTAAACGAAAACATCAGTTGATTGTGGCCAGTCGGAATCAGGTTTAACTGAAATCATTGTGTTTGTAAACCTGCTTGTGTAGGAGTTTAGATCTATATTCCCCGAAAAAGATGAAGGATCAGGAGTTTTCCTGGAAGTCATAGTGTCGTCCCATGAACGAGTTGAGCAGCAGTGTATCCAGCGTCAACTATCACTGCATTGTGAACACTGAGTAAGATGAATGGAAGAGCGTCGGTCCACCGTGAACCGTATGTATTTAAGAGTGAAGCTTTAGGCTGACGGTGAAATCGTTCTACTAACGTGTTTGCTTGTGGGTGGTTGGCGATCATTCTGAACTATGTGATTTTCAGTAGTGTAGTCGGACAACGGAAAAGTTCGGATTCGAACTGGTGTCCACTGTCTGTAGTGATAGCTGAAGGCAGCCGAAGTTTGCTATCCACCGTTCGACGAAGACACGGGCCACTGTTTCAGCAGTTAGACCTTGATGAGCACTGCTTCTGGCCATCGAGTGAAACGGTTTACGCAAGTCAAGAGATGAGAGTATCCATCTGAATCTGGTTAGGGTCCTACCAAATCCCGACGAACAGAGTCGAAGTGGGCATAGGAGGTTTTGAAAGAGCCTGAGGGACATTTATTGTTTCAATCCACCTTGAATTTTTGGCAACGTACACAGGAGCGTGCACACTCCCTCATATATTTATTCATACCGGGCCAGCCAAACCGTTTTGCTATGAGCTTGATGGTTGCACAAACACCTGAATGAGGTTTGTGCAACGTATTGAAGACATTACGTCGATAATGTTTCGGCACGATTGGACGACCCTTACCTGTAGATGAGTCATATAGTTAAGTTTTCCTACCTGCTCTCATCTGTTTAATACGCGGCCCTAGGGTTGTTGAAGATAACTCGTACTGAGAATATATGTCTTCCTTTTGAGGCTAGGTGAGTTAAAGAAGGTCGATTTCTTGGAAACCGTTCAAAGAAGCTGTATGAGACATGGTGTCCACACTGCACTATTTGTCCTAGAGCTGTGTTGCATATCTGAAGGGAACTGGGAAATGATGTTCAGTTGTCGAATTTCTTGTGCGGTGTAAATGTCTGACGTCGGGTTTCGAGAAAATATAGGAGGTTTATAGTCAGTAAACAGAGTGAATTCTCGGCCTTATACGGAGTGTTAACAGTGCCGTTTAGTAAAATTTATGGCTCTTGTTCCCTGCCGAAACTGCTATACGTTGTTTCGGTGTCTTGCAATCATCTGGAAAATAATGCCAACGGTCGCCAGGTGTTATTTATCCATAACTGCAAGACTCCAGCGACTGCCTAGTCGGATACGCCTATTGCTGAACTATGTTGTAGATAGATGTTGTTAGAGAGTTTGTCTGACCGTTGTCCGTTGGTAAGATATCCACGCTTAAGATTAGCCTTTTTTAAAGTTTCGTAATGTTCATAGACATCACTAGCAAACAAACTAGGTGTGACACACGTGTTGAAATCACGTGATAGTGACTTCATTACTGAGGACTTGTGCATGTAGGTCTGACACGTTGTGCTCGTGGAAGCCAGCTTCTGCAGAACCGAGCCCATATATTGTTAGGCCGAAATGGCATCAGTAGAGATTAGCGAAGCGAAAAAGTCTTGATCTCAAATAACTTAGGAGTCCGTTCGATCATGATGAATACAAAATATACTAATGAACGCGAAAAAATGTCCGAAAACATAGAAAATATTGAAATATGAATAAACGAAAGTTAAGAAAATGATTAATTATGTTCTAACGAAGGACTGACTCATAGTTTACGAATTGGTGTACTAGATCACATCGTGCCCACCATTAAAAATTTTAAAAGTATCTGGCATTTGAAAACACCATAACCAGTGATACCTTTATAATCGAAGTATGACAACACATTTAAATCAAAATGGGTGAGTGAGTCCTCAGCTAGGCGAGCCCAGTAAAACTAATGCAGTAAGCACTAAATATTGAAGACCTACAGAGCTATTGGTTCCGGGGATTTATATACCGCAACAAATCTTTAACGGTCTCGTAGTTCTTCGAGTTACTGGATATTAAAATAGTTCTCCAGATAGGTGTGAAGAAGTACCTGTTGCTTTAAACAATTCTTTCAATAAATATCATAGCAATCATACTGTTGTGCGTGCTACTAATGTCGATAAATACAAGTAGTATGTATCATCAGCTGAAAGTGAAATGCCTGGCGACGGAAGATTAAGGAGATCTATGAAAAGAGAACGAAAACAGAGAATAACTGGTCTGAGAACGAAGGAACAACTTCATTGACTACGAAAAGGCATTTGATAGCGTGGACAGAACAACACTATGGAAACTTCTTCGACACTAGGGCGTGCCTCAGAAGATAGTCAATATCATACAGAGTTCATATGATGGATTACACTGCAAAACTGTGCATGGAGGACAGTTGACAAAGTCGTTCGAAGTGAAGACCGGTGTTAGGCAAGGTTGCTTACTCTCACCCTTTCTCCTTCTCCTGGTGATCGACTGGATCATGAAAACGTCAACGTCTGAAGGGAAGTGCGGGATACAATGGACATCTAAGATGCAGTTGTATGATCTAGACTTCACAGACGATCTGGCCCTCCTATCCCAAACGCAACAACAGATGCAGGAGAAGACGAACACTTTGGCAGCAGCCTCAGCAGCAGTAGGTCTCAATAAACACAAAGGGAAAAGCAGGATTCTCCGATACAACACAGAATGCACCAATCCAATCACAATTGACGGAGAAGATTTGGAAGATGTAAAAACCTTTACGTATTTGGGCAGCATCATTGATGAACAGTGTGGATCTGATGCAGATGTGAAAGCGCGGATCTGCAAAGCAAGAGCGGCATATTTACAACTGAGGAACATCTGGAACTCAAAGCAACTGTCAACCAACACCAAGGTCAGGATTTTCAATACAAATGTCAAGACAGTTCTATTGTATGGGGCAAAAACCTGGAGAACTACGAAAGCCATCATCCAGAAAATACAGGTGTTTATTAACAATTGTCTACGCAAAACACTTCAGATCCATTGGCCGGACACTATTAGCAACAACGTTCTGTGGGAGAGGACAAACCAGATCCCAGCGGAGGAAGAAATTAGGAAGAAGTGCTGGAAGTGGATAGGACACACATTGAGGGAAGCACCCAATTGCGTCACAAGACAAGCCCTCACATGGAATCCTCAAGGCCAAAGGAAAAGAGGAAGACCAAAGGACACATTACGCCGAGAAATGGAAATAGACATGAGAAAAATGAACAAGAATGGGATCGAACTAGAAAAGAAGGCCCAGGACAGAGTGGGTTGGAGAGTGCTGGTCAGCGGTCTATGCTCGATTGGGAGTAACAGGCGTAAGTAAGTAAGTAAGTCTCAGGTTTTACTAAGAGATTCTGTGATTTTGAACTGAAATACATTTGATTGACTCTACTAGTGTTCTCGTTCATTATAATACGCCATTGAAATTGACCGTGTTAGTTTGACGCACAGCTGTCTGAAGACGCTCAGGCAGGCATCCGTGTCAGATCACTCTTCAAACTGCTTTGGTGAGCAACTCCTTGTGTAACGGGGCAGATTATAAGACATGAGTTGTGGTTCTATTATATTTCGGCCAGATGCAGCTTCCCATCATCTTCTTGTTAAGTTCCAGAATGTTTTCACAGAAGAGATTCGTGTACCAGTGTTGTCCAGTTTTGTCTCATCTGAATCCCTTTCGTGTTCGAATCGTTTTGACTACTGTTTAACTTTACCCCCACGATTGCTGAGATGGCTAGTAACGGTGTTGGTCATTGTGTAGATATTTCCGGTATTTGGGCTTGCCATTTACAGATAACATGTTGCACCACTTTTTAGCTGTTCCAGGTCAGCTTTACGTTAAAGAGACTATGTTCGTCGGGCTGAGCATGATATCGACACTGGAAGAACCCTTTCTGAGCCATTTGCTGAGCTCAATTTCGTTCTCTGTAGTAGTGGTTTTCCCTGTTTAGCGTGGTCAGAGATGCAAAAGTAGGCCTAACTAGTGTATTACCGAAACTTGGTGTGTTGAAATACTTATTTGTACTGTTCTTTCCCAAAAGGTTCTTTTTTATATAAAAGACTGCAACTTTTAGATGGGGCAGGATGTGGAAATGTAGCCTAGCAGTGATGTGAAGACACGGGTATCTTGCAAGGTAGTTTATATCCGCCAAAATATCCTTTGCTTCATACAATCGCTTTTAAGATGCAAGAATGGCTGTTAAATCATCCATAACGTTGTAATATAGAGTCCAATTGGTAGCATTAGGGTTATTGTACATTGAACATCATAACTTTTCCGTTTCTCTACTCCGACTGAGAGTATGGGAAAGTTCTTCTGTGGTTTTATGAAATTTGTTTACAGCAGTTCGAAATAGGACTGACCATCTTACAGACGAGTGAGAAATGGCGCTACAATGCAATGGTGTCTGAAGGCGGTTTATCGTCTGGTGGCGGATCTAGTCTAGAATCATCTGACGACTCCGATATTCCGGATTCTCGTTTGGATAATCTTGTTGACGATATAATTGGTAAACTCTCACTATACACAACCTGCGAACAGTCTGGGATGACCATAAAAAATCGAAAAGATAGACTTAAGTCTGAAAGAGACCCGCCAGGGACTTCTACGAATAGTCGACATAGTTTCGGCTATAAGCCGTATCCTTATAGTGAAGAACGTAAAGATATTCTCTCTCATCGTAACAGACACCGTTGTTCTCACCATGAGCCCAACATTAGTCAAGATATTGAAGCTCCCCACTCACCCTTGACCTACCCATTCCCTATTGATGCATCCATTTTCCCTTCTCATGGGGCCTTCACCCATCCCCAACGTTTAGTATCTCAACAGCATGAGTCCCTTAACGCTGGCGAATGCAGACCACATGTACGGGAAAATAAGTCAAACCAGGTAATACCTCAACCCAATGTGGTAGATGACGGCTCTGGCAACAACAGTGAGGATGAATACTATTTCGGGAAGCAAGGCCGAAGGGGTTCACCCACCCAAGTAAGGCTATTATCCACCGTACTCTAATTGTTTAAGCCTGCAGATGATTGTCTTGAACGATTGTTAGCAGAAAAGAAAGGGTGGAAGTTAATTAAGGTGGGATCTGATGGTGCTTGTTTGTTCCGTAGTGTTTGTAGGTTATTATTCTTTAATGTAGATTTTACAGCTCATCAAATATTCGGTGATGAAGAGAAGCACGATCTAGTTCGTTCGCAGGTTATAGATTACATGGTAACTTATCGACTCCTTTTCCCTTGAAATTTTTTTAAGGTGAAAAACAAGGAGCACTTTTCACAGTATTTGACAGAGGACTTCGATCACTATATATCACGCAAGAGAGATGCTTCTTGTTACGGAAATCATGTGGAGATCCAGGCTATCGCAGAACTATACAACAGACCTGTCGAAATATACCATGGTTCAGTGGAACCCATTAATGTTTTCCATGCTGACTATTCTAAGGAGTTTCCTATCAGACTAAGCTACCATGGCCGTGTCCACTATAATTCAATAGTAGATCCTTTCAACCCTTCATTTGGTCACGGTCTAGGGATGCCTAACTACCAACCCAGTGTATGTTTCCATAATACCATTAATCCTTTTTCAGTTGGCTGAACCAGACCTTATTGCTTGCGCAATCAGAGAGTCTGAAAGTACCCACCTTGAAGAGGCTATGCTACGTGATAAATTAGCGGAAACAGAACAGGATGCAATTAATCGGTGTATTGAAGACCAAGCTGTCAGGGAATCTTATTTCGATTATTTCAATCAGATCTCAGTACCGGTATGTTTTAATACTATAATTGACATTTGGTAGACATGTTCTCAGTGTGTGTTATTTCTAAGTAGTTGTCTATCATCCTTTTCGTAAATAAGTGGATAGCGAGTCTGTCTCAAATGTTTAGTTGTGTTGCTGTAAACCAGCATATTTACCATACAATTTCTAAATGCATACAGAACAGCGACGGTACGTACGCTGAAACTGGAACTATGCAGATAAAACAGCTATATCACACTTTGTTAATAGTAATAAACTCTACTCTAACTTAGTGTTGCCGACATCCAGTTGAATACGAAGGGTGTGCATCACAATTGAGGTAGCGACAAAATTACCAGTTATGTGAATATCATATTAAGATAGAAAAAACCTTAAGAATTTCGAATTTTAGAGGATCTATTTCAACAAATGTAACCCTTAAAGGTATCATAATAGCTACTGATTCTGAAGTTGAGGACTTGATAACTCACGTTCACTATCTCTCTGTAATTATAATGGTCATAAATTAATGTACTGGACTCTAGTGAGACTAAGTGGATTACTTTATAAAACTAAGGCAGTTGATTGTGAACATGAAACGCGATGAGTAATGAGTTGACATAAACTTGACCATTCACCGGCTTTAGATACTTAAGTGCCCATTGGCGCCGTCCGCTTGTTCTGGCGAATTATGGATTGTTGTTCTCTGCCGTATTGGATGTTTTGGATTATTAGGTGGGATAATCCAAGGACTCGGAACTACTGGTTATTTATGATTTGTTTCTAAGATAAGGGGTGTTCATGCAGGAAATCCACATTGGGTATGTGACCTATAGTGAAACGCAAATATGCGTCTTTCCATAATTGTATTGTTTTTTTGCTCAAACTATTTATTCATATCGTGTATAGACACTTGTAAAAAACAATTGATTTATGGACCCCTTTCTTTGTTTCCGGTCTTGGATGCTCATAAATTTCTGATCTTGCAGAAGGTAAGGGATTCAGCTAACTCTCTTTCCACACTCGACCATCTGGACCTACATGGTGATCAGCGGGAAGCAACATTAACCTCCGGATTCCCTACAGGTTTGGCAAGAAGTTTCGACGTGGCATCTTCATCAAAAGCCGCAGTTCCCGATTCAAAACAGTACAGAAATCCAGCAAATGAACCGCTACCTAGTTCATCTCATTCTCAAACTGATTTGGGTTCGCGTCATATCCCACCCAATATGCTAGGTAAGTTTCCGGTCGTTTACATGATTAACGAGTGTGAAGTTTCGTAATACGCACTAATTCAGCTTGTAGTCAGTGTTTCATGGTCTCATGATGCTCTTGAACTGTGTTGTCGGTTACTTTGCATCAGTCCTGGTTATCAAATGGGTAAAAGAAATATGATCTAGTTCAAATTGGAGTGCTAAGGAATCTTCCTAAACAATTTCACTACATTTTTTCGAACTAATCGATCGTGAAAAACTGGCAGGTAACAAAATTGCGGGCTGAGCTTAGTATTTCGACATATGTACCTGCTAACAATTTCCATTCCCACCAGGACAGTAAATCTACAGGATATGATAGACTGACAATTAACTAACTTCATCCATTAACCAACTGCATTTACAGTCAAGTCGACACTAATTCCAGTAGTGAATTTATTGGTAGTATTTAGTTGGCGTATTGAAACAATGCTATCTGTTCTTGAGCTGCAAAAAGACCTAAATAATATAGTAGCGATGATAACACGAAGGGTTAAACGTCCGAAATATGGTTCGGAAAGGGAGAATGGATACTAGCATTCGATGTCGAAAGGGAGATAAATGGTGGATGAACCTGCGCCACTAAATGCCATTTAAAGTTTTCAACCAATGGTCGCGGTTGTTGAGCGGACCCCAATAAGATAAACTGCATCCATCCATTAATATATTTCAGACCACAATGACTTTATGGGCTGATGTCGTGTCTTGGTTTGATTGCGTCTAGCTTCCAACTCACTTTTACACTGCGCGGTGTGTACGGAATGTCCGCTTCTTCTTGAAGTGTGAATTTGAATCCATATTATCCCTCAGTTTATGCCAGACTCGTTTTAAGGTAAACCCATCTCCACACTAAATGTAAACAAACATCAGGTTTACTTAAAAGTATGAATCTCATATAAAGTTGTGGCTTCGAGATGAAGTTATTTATACTGGGTTAGATCCTCACAATTTTCTAACGTACTGATATTTCCACAGGCTGTAAATACATTGGCGTAACTTCCTTACTAGAGGAATTTTATAGTCTTCGAAGGACAAGGTTAGAAGTGACTTTCTGGTCAAATAACTGACCTGATTATTTAAGAATATGCGAAACTTGGTGTTCTGTTAACTTGACAGATATATAGGAACAATATACCTTAATGAACTGTTGTGTCACAGACTCGATTTTATTCCTACCTACTTCGATCTAGGCAGTCAGTTAGTGTTTTTAGCTCCCTCAAAAAATATCTCATCCCAGTGCAAGAACTATTACTAGGTTGGATAAAAGTATCCCAAATATATCGGTGAAAATTGTTCCGGCATCGTAAAGGGAAGTCACGATACAAAATAAAGGATCAGTAGTGATGTCAAGAGTGCTGGGTAACCAAACAAGAACTATAGTCTACACGCAACCAATAAAATTGAAAAGCGAGTAACATGAAGTGACATTAAGCTTCAAGTTTTGAGTAGTGGATATATGCACTTATATCAATTTCGACCTGTCAGTTAAGATCCGCAATTAATCTCTCGTCAGAAAACTTGCCTTTTCCTGCGCAGCAGACCAGTCCAGGATTTCATGGGCTAGTGATGTAGTCCTGTTATTCTAAAGTAAGACCATTGTTGTACAGATTCGTTCGTAATTTTGCTACGAACGACTTATGAAGTAATATCTATCGTCATAATGTGCAGATTGTATTAGAGACATGGTGGATCGACTATTTGATCGCTTCTTGCTTAATGCTATAAGGGTGATTTGGCATGGTGACTTAATCTGACCGGTATTTATCTCAATTTTTATGTTGATTTGTTAATGGCTTTCGTCCTTGATTATTTATTGAATGACTATCGAGTAATCACTAGTTATAGTATTTTAGCTGAATGTATATAGTTCCCTAATATATTTCTACATACTCAGCCAACAAGTGTTTCTGTCTTCTGAATTCTACTTGGTTTCCTGATCAAATTGTCAGTCCAACTACCTCAGATATATCAGTACTCTTCAGAGTCAATTGTTCTGCCATTTTGCTTTGTAGAGGATTTCTTACCACTTTATTGCCTCAAGTTTTGTACTTTGGAACAATAAAACAGCCACGTTCTATTAATATTTTGTAATTATGAGGATGAAATTCTAGTACTTGTGTTTCTAAATATTTTCGCGCAATTTTGGGAATTTATATTCCCGTAGACAGCATAATTTAAGTATTTTGTAGGAAAATGTTATATATCTCTTCATATTTCTTGAGAATATTTTTGCTTATGTTTTTACAGGAATGGAGGAAGATGACTTGGTTGCTATGGTCATGGAACAGTCCAGACGTGAATACCTTGAAAGTATGCGTAATAAACAAAAACCTCATTTTACTGCCAGTCGCTTTTCACCAGAATCAACTCCCTCAGACTTCAATGAGTGTGAATCTTTTCAGAAAATTGACGAAGAATCGCCTTCTGAAATGTCGAATAACAAACCAGACAAAACCCATGATAACCCTGCTAATTTAAATGACAGTTACTAGATAGTTTTTCTCAAAAGTAAATTGAATGGTTGATTCAGCAGCTAGGTGTGCCTTCCAGTTTTCAGTGAATTCAATGCCATTATTACTTGTGATGTATAGACGACTGTCTTTCTCTTGTTTACTTGATCTTGACTTTAGCGAATAGACTGCTCAAGCACCCAATACACTGTACTTCCACTGCTGACTTAGGTTTATTTGTACTAAAAATCTGTCCCAAAAGTTGCTTCCGCAGCATCACTGTACCTTGTAATTATAAACTTTCGTTTACGTTAAAACACTTGTGTTGATTTTTGATCTTCATTCTTTCCAAAGCTTACTGCGATAAAATTGTTCATTATGCACCTTGAGGTTCTGCCAGAATTTGTGGTGCATCATTATACCATATTTTTGTCAGTTTGGTGAAGCTGGATATCTACATCCCTATTTATTTAGCCATCTATTAGATTGAAAATGCTAATGTAACATTTTAGAAGGTGCCTCACTTTATTTTTCGAATAATTTTGTGTTAATAAGTTCTTAAGTTGCTCCTTTGCTTGTCATCGATATATTTCTTCTATTCACAAACTGTATATAATTTCATTGATGTAACTGAAACACTTTGTTCAGTTGGTAATTTACTTTGTGTTATTTTATCTTAATTTCTGGTTGTTCCAATCCTACCAAGTCCTGATTAACTGTCGAGTAGTTTTTGAATAGAGTTTATTTATGTAAATAACAGTTAGTGTTACGTAGCTATAAAGAAATGGGAATAGTAACAAGGTTTCATTGATGCGATAAGGTATCAAAGTATGAACTGTTTCGTCCCATTAAGTTTTATAAACGGCAGTTTGTGTTTCATAAATCTTCACTACATTCTTACAGGATGAACTAATAGTATGAAATTTATAGTTTGTGTAAATATGAACATTCATATGTAAAACTTATCACTAGAATTATGCGAACTAACCAATTAATGTCGAATCATAATCGCAAAAAGCTTAGGAATCTCTCTCCCTGAGTCCCAACATTACTTCATAACTGCTATTCCTTGAATTCATTCCTTCCGCATTGTATTCCCCAAATGTTTAGTCTTTTAACTATATCTGAAGCTTTTGTTATTTGTTTTCTTAATCTCATCTGTGTATTTTTATGATACAACTTGGGCCTATGCACACTTGTACTAGGCTGTGTTGATAATGACCAAGTGATTGGTTCATGTCCCTTCAAAAGTGGACTCTGTCATTTAGAGCTGGCGTCGCAAAATCAAATACGGAACCATTATTAGCTTCATGATAACCAGCTTACTTTTAAGTCGTTTTGCCTAACGTTGATATAATTCAGTCTACTGTAAGGAATAAGTAAGATTACATTGATGACTTCTGATTAATTAACCAATATGAGGAAAGCTGACTGGTTAAATACTTTCAACAATGAAGCAAAGTCCTCCCGATGGCAGTTTTCACTTCAATCTCAACTACAATTATTAGATTCTACAAAAATAACTAAAACATTCAATTGTTGAAACATGTACATGCTCAAAGCTTGATATACTTCTCGAGATAGTTTCAAGCAACCAGTTCGATACCTTCATTTTTATAATGTTCATAGGGTCCGTGAAGCAAAAAGAACTTAGTAGGGATCGGTTTTCAAAAGGCAATGAATAGTGGTTTCCGAATAATCACATCAATAAATTACTTTAGCCAAATATTTACTGGATAATTCTGAGTACTTATGAGTAGTGGATTAGTAAAATAGTAAAATATCAAGGATAATTGGAACGAATGGGATAACGAATTCTACGCATCAGTTTTTTTCCTTATTTTCATCGTGAAGTTTGTTTCGCTGAACTAATTATATCATTAACCCCCCTTCACGTAATATAGCAATGCTTAAGAAATCCATCTTAAATTTAATAAGTGGGCCTAATATCAAAAAGTGGATATGTCGAACAGTCTAAACATATATGAAAAAAAATATGCAGAAGTTTCGGATTGCTTTGTTAGTCTATTCCTTAGTTGTTTATTAATGGCCGAACTATATACACATTATAATCAAATTGCTGTAAGTGTTATTAATTCGATACCCCTTGGTGGTCCAATGGGAAAGTGATCGCGCTAATAACTGAATAACACCCTCTAATGAATCTGAACACAATTTCTTCAACACTTCATTCAGAATGTCATTGGGCGATTCAGTATTTAGTTGGCCCCCGAAAGGACTGCATATTTGTTTTAGTGCCCATTTGTACCAAAGTGTATTCAGATGAATATGTCATATAATTTGAATGAATGCTTATGATTAAATACATGGTATGATCAATGACTACATCCTGTTAATAAGAATGCTCTGTATATCCGACTAGAATACAGATGACTTCACTAATATTTGACTACTGTTCAATAAGAAAAAGTAAACTTGAAGTCAGGAATCAGGCAGTAATCCATTGACTATATCATAAATGACTTAAAAGTGTACTACCGGATTGCAAATAAGCAGCATTTTGTTTGTTGGGATATGTAAAACGTCCCATGACATCTGCACATGAATTTCAGAGTGCAGATGTCAGATCCTTCTTGGTTTTCGAAATGAATTCCGTTTAGAATAAAATTTTAATCAAATTAGGTTCTGTATCAGTGCTTGAAATTGGAAGGCGTAGAAAAGAAATATTTAAACTTTGTGAAGGGTCTCTGCCCAAACACTCCTGGTCCATTAAAAGCTTGTGGTTATTTGCTACAATGACTGTCAACCTTAAGTACGTTCGTCGGGGTTATCTACTGTCCCCTTTTTACTAAGTTGCCCCGTAGGTGTATTTCTATAAATTTCTACGAGTCGACCCCCTATCTGGAGGTTCGATTATCTACTTAGAATGGTCTTATTTAGTAAAGACACTGACAAAACGTAGATTCTTCTGATCTCCTTGAATAAAAATGCAAGCATCTGTGAGATGAGATTTTCTTTCTTCAGATGGGAAATATTACTTCAGGACTGGTTTATATCAATGCCTCAACTGGTAACACAGTGAAGTAGTTGAATACATCAACCAATTCACTTATTTAGAGGTCAAAACCCTGGTTGATCGATGCTCGATAAGATCTCTAAACGGATTCAGAGAGCTTAATTTACCATAGTCAACTTATTCACTCACGGCATAAGATATCTATCTGGTAACTAAAGGTCAAGTATACTACGTTACAGTTCGTTCTGTTTTAATTTCTGTCTACGAAACGTGATCTTTAATATTAGGTTTTCATAGGTTTCTATTACTTACTCATGGGTGTCTCGTGTGTTGTGAATATCAAGTGAGCAATGTTGAGGCTAGAAATAGAATACTGGGTAAAGATAGAAAATCAGTTTGTGAGGTTGTGAGATTTCATCGGCCGATGTGATTGAAACAAGTGCAACATGTCCTCGACTATTGTCTACCTTGACAGCTTATATTAGCTAGTGTAAAACTAGTTTTGAAAAAGTCTAGAGGTAGCTTAAACAGAACGTGGCTTCAGTTTCTGATATCATATTAGTAGATGCAAAATACATGGTTGTTGTCCTCACTATCATTGGTTAAATATTATTAAATAAAATAACTCAGAATTAGTTGCAGTTGTACAGATGCATCCATTTTTTAAATTTTCCTTTAGACTAGCTTTTCTATCATGCGAAACTTTCGATTCTATCATTTCAAATCAAATTTTCTTCTTCACTATTATTGTTACTACATGATTTTGATTTATTTACTATTCGTCTTGTTTATTTCATTTCATTATTTTAATATGGTATGATAATTTGATTTAAACATACATTTTTAACTAAATCTACATTATAAATGATCAAACTCACTATTACTATCGATAAATAAAAGAAACAATGATAAAATTAACTAGATACATTAATACATAATTGAAATAAATCATTGTGTTACTATGATTCCAACAAAAAAATGAAAAAAAACAACGTTTCATTCAAACATTTTAGTTTCAACAACTAATTAATAAACTAAATGATCTTGTTTTGTTTTGATTTTTTTTATAAAAAAAAACTCTGCAAATTAGGAATCAAAACATCAACAAAAATATCTGAAAAATCAATAATAATAATTTTCTTTTTAAATAAAAAGAAACAAACAAACAAACGACAAAAACAAAATTTATCATGATACATTCTTTATTTCAAAAAATAATTCAGATGTAATAAAGTAAACTTTAGAGAGAAAAAAAAGAGTAAACATTGTCTACAAGGAGTGTTATTTTATAAAGAATCATTTGAGATTCATACCTTTTCTTTTGCAAATTATGTAACTTGAAAAAAATAATTTTGTATCTTTCACCTTTCTTTTTTTTTTAAATAATGAGTTGTGTGAAAGGAATGTGCATTATGGTGATTTTTTTTATTTTTAAAATAATAATAATAATTTCAAGTGTTTCACATTGACTTTTAATGATTTTTCTCTCTGTTTAATATCATTTACAAAGATTGAAATCATGAGTCATTTGAAGCTAGACCACTATGGAAAACCTGGAAGCACTGGACGACCGTTTCGTCCTAGTATGGAACTCCTCATCAGCGCGAACCCACGATCCCGTTCCCCGTGAGATTCGAACCCAGGACCTATCAGTCTCGCGTCAAGCGCTTAACCAACCAGACCATTGAGCCGGCATCCAATGGTGTTAATGTCCAGTGCTTCTAGATTTTCCATGGTGGTCTAGCTTCAATTGACTCATGATTTCAATCTGTGAAATTTCTAAAATCTCCACAAACCCCTTCTGATAATATTATTTTCACTTGAAAAACATAATTTGTTTTTTATTTAAAAAAAACTACTAATGATATGAAATATTATCTTGAAAGTTATCTAAACAATTCAATGTGATAGATACCCTGAAATGAAAAAAGTTTTGGTACTTCTTCATGTTATTCTGTATATTTGACTTAGTTAATGTAATCAGTTTAGATTTAGTGCGATTTTATCTATCATTAATAATAATGATCTGTCTACCCATTCGATCTGCACTAATAAGGACTAGACACACATGACATTGATCGCCGCCCAGTGATCAATCAATTGTGACCTATTTTTGGTGCCGAGGATAACTAATCTAATCTAGATTAAGACTTTGACGAGAGAGGTTGACCGGTTTAACCTTGAGGCTAGTACGCATGAGTTTGAAGTGGGGTAAAGAGAAGAAAACTATTCTTATAATCTGATTGGCTGACAAGTACGCGAGTGAGAGAAAACAAGTCAACTGGAACATTACTCGATTTATTCTCAATTCCGATCTGGTTTACCAATTTTAGATCAGTGTAAAAAGATACATGAATAAACAGATGACTAACCTGACCACAACGTAAAATAATTAGGAAAATACAATTATTTAAAGCAATTAGTCCCTTTGATAAATTTCGATAATGTAATTACATAGTTCTGATAATCTTTGTCTTCTTATTACATTATCGAAATACAATTATGTCCAAAACTGGGGATTAGCGTAGAAAATAGAGTACAAAATATACGTTTAAATTATAATATTTTTGGAACAAAAAGGGCCATGGCAGTGAATCATACATCAAGCGAAAGCTTATGATCTGTAAAATAGACTAGAACAAAAATAAATATCAATGTTTTACAAGCTTTATATTAACTGAAATATCGTACCTAAAAATAGCTTCCACAGTTTGTCAAGGCTTCTTGTTTCTCTGTTCACATCAATAATAAATCAGAATTTGCTTAAACTGTTTATTT